GCATCAGCTTCTTTAAGCTCATTAGACGTTAAGTCTTCTAAATTTTTTATTTTCCAAATACATGGTATGTCACAATCGATTAAGGTTTCGTCGTATTTATATTTAAGTTTTGGAAAGTCTTCAGTCAAATACCAGTCTGGACGAGTTACATATATCCTCACTTTACGGTCCATATTAAAATAACTTGTTATATAATGTCTTTGTTTCCATTCTGTGAAGTTTGTTGGCTTGATTTTAAGCTTATTCATTAAATTCTCTGTATTATTAATTTTTAATTCTGTCATAATAGGCATAGTAAGTTCATGAACCGATGATTCTATTCGCAACGGTAAGAGGGAGAATACAAGAATGAAAATGAATATAGAACAGAGAAGGAATATTGTTATTTGCTTTGGTTGTTTTATGTTAGAGATCCATGTTATGAAGTACATAGCGTACGTAGATATAAAAACTTGACAGTTAGATAAACGAAGAAATGATTACGTATCAAAATATTTTTTGGATTAAGTTCTCAATGATAATATCATGTACATGTTTAATATATTTTAATAACCAAATTTCTTTGTGACAAACAGGGATGTCATGTCGTTTGATTGGATATTGTAAATTTTTATTGGACATAAAAACATAACTATAGATGGACGAAATTACATTTTTTGATATGATTTTCATAATATTTATATTACATGTCTACATATCGATATTATTTAGTCTCTATTTGTAGGTGCAGATATAATTATACGAATGTAAATGTGTGCGTGTATAAATGTCTTTTTTGATGTACATACTTTATCGTGTTTATTTATTTATATTACTATACTGCACAGATAAATTATCCACCAATGAGATTGTTAAAAGCGATGGACAGACGGCTGTGTTTAAATACAAATTTGTTATACATGATTATTTTGGATATATATATACATTTAGGTACCGGTAGTAACGCCCGACCAGTAACGACCGTAAACATCAAGGAGATGCATTAGCAAAGTTAAAATTTATATTATTTGAGTAATTTTCTTGGAACTTAGATATTTAGGAAATTTATGACATATTTTCAGATCCTTGAATGATAAAAGTTCCAGCGTAACCAATAATCGATGTCGCAGTCACATAATTTATAAAATTATTGACGGAAATGTCTCTGATCATTTCTATTTTTGGGGGTCGTTTAAAGCGTGGTGCATTACATATTGATCTGCATATTGCATAAGTTCTATTCTTGATATCTATATATAAATAATGTACTAACTGTATCAAAAACCTAACCCTAACTGCACCACGCTTTAAACGTCCCCTATTTTTGGGGGTCGGCTAAATTCAATATACGATCTACATATTGCATAATTCGTATTCTTGATATCTATATATAGTGTGAGGTCCGAATAACGTGATCCGGGTAAGCTGCGGATTGATCACGTTTGCCTAATGATGCCTCTCGAAACTATTTTGGTGTGTCGAAACTGTTTCGATAAATCCCATAGTATCGAAATATCGATATC